TATTTTGGCAAAACCTCTAAAATGTGGTTATTTTGTGGCAAAGGGTTGTGTAAACCGGTTATTTTTATAAATTTCCCCTTTTAATATGACAATGGGACGATCCGATTTTTAAAAAACTCGAACCCGTATTTTAAGTAATTACACAAATCGTCCTTCAGTGGATGAAAATTTTAGTTTTTGGTCCTCGATTTTGTTTATTACACATTTACCATTATTGTTTGGATGCTGGTGGCCCCGTTTGACTATATGAAATAAATATACGGATTTTTTTTTCAATCGGAAACACTATTTGATTAAGAAAATAATACTGACATGATTTGAACTTGGGTCTGCGGTGGAATAAAAGTCTTGCAAACCAATTCTACCAAATAAAATTTGTTTTGATTGTAGTTTCAAAAATATACGGTGACACACAACAAATTAATACGGTTTCACCTTTCACGAACCTAAATTTTTTTACCCTTCAACGGAGGAATAATACAGTGGCAGGTGCCACCATAACCACCAAAGTAGGTTCGTCCCTGTCCCCATCCCTATTCCACCTAGTATGGGAATCAAATCCAGGTCCCCAGCTTCTCCATGACAAAAAAAATATTTAATTTAGTATTTTTTGTGTATTTCTTCAAGTACTTTTTTTTTTATTGATTTCTTTGTACAAAAAAACTCAAATAAGTTATTGTTAATGTACGATAGTTAAATTCGTAAATTTAGAAGGATAATTAACATGTTCAATTAAATATATAAATAGTTGAACATGTGTTACATCAAAGTTTTTGCTAAAGTTGTATTAGAGAAGACAATCTTGAAAATTCTAAGTGTTGAAGATCAGTCAGAGTTTTGAATAGGCAAGTCAAAACTCTAGATGTAAAGGATCAAAGATCTGGTGAAATTGACGTGTGTTTGTGATAACCGTGAGATCCAATTTCAAGGAAGAACTGGTTAGTTTGTGATAACCGTAAGATCCAATTTCAACTACAAATCAATGGATAAATTAGAAAATTGATGATTATGGTAATTTTGAATTAAAATTTTAATTAAAGGGCATTTTGGTTATTTTAAAACTATCTTCTCTCCTCTTCCCTCTTCCGACCTCGGATTAGAAACCTCCGACCTCCAGTGAACTTATTCCGGTGAACACCAGGATACATAATGTGATACCAAAAAACATCGACACTATTAAAGAAAAGATACATACAAACGACTTTTAGTGTGATAAACATTGTGATACCTAAGAACTTCTAAGAGTAAGACATAAACACAATGTGATACCCACTATGATACCACTGAACCCCCTGTGATACACATTATGATACCCAAGAATTTTAATACACAAATCCATTGTGATACTAATGTGATACCCATTGTGATATCATTGTGCTACCGTCTTGAATATGGATTGAGACCAAATCTCATATGGGTTTTATATAAAACATAGCCACTGGTAGGTTATTTTTCACACACTTAGACTTATAAAAGAAACCACAAAACAAGTATACAATATGGTCCAATGTCGTCTTTTCCAAGTAATAAAGTGGTAAAAACCGAATATCGTCCACAGAGATTGTAGCAAAGACTTAATAAGATTCCAATTAAAAAGATGATTTCAGATGATGAAATTGAAGACTTCAGTTTAATTCTGAGTTAACAATGATAAAATAACAGAATATAAAGGGGTAGCATGGGTGTAAGACTTTGGTGAAATGTAAACACAAATTCCAACAATCAATGATATAGGAATGCTACAGCATGCAGTAAGCCATAACTAGTTGCACCATCTATTTTGAAGGTATTCCTCTCGGACTTCACCATTGTACTATATTATAGCCTTCAACTCATATCTCTATGTGGTATCTAGAGCAGGGATAGTGCCAAAATGTTGTCTTCAAAATATATGGATAAATAAATCTATTTGTTAAAAATCACTCTCTCGAGCCGATTCCCATATCATTCAAGTTGGTGTGTATTCTAGATAGTTCATTTCTGAATCTACCGCATTTTAACACTTTTAACAAGCGACCAACCTGTCGATAATTAATTTGTTTGAAATATATAAATGACAAGTCTCCTTGTCGGCAACTTTCTCAAGTCTACCTATCATATCATTTAAGTTGATGTGTATTCAATGACTTATCTCTAAGACCATTGCACTTTAACACTTTCAAAGTGATCAACTCGTCAAGAAGTGTCATTGGTTATTATAAAAACTTGAACGAAATAGTGGAACATTGTTATTGCGAAACAACGTCCATTTCCGTCGGTTTAACATTTCACCCTTTGTCTTACACCCAAGCTAATGGAATTAGCTACTCATTACAGAAATTAAATGACAAGAAATATAAAAAACAAAAAAGTAAAGACATAAATATAAATGACGAAAAGTAAATAACTGAATGTAAAGAGCGGAAATTAAAGACAAGAAAAGTAAATAAAGTAAGAACAATGCTGCAACAACTCATAATGAAGAACAATATTTAAAGAAAATTGAAAACTAACTTGCATTAACAAAAGAACTACAGATCTGATTCTTCATTGTTTTTGGGATGGATTTTAAGAGCTACCAAGGGGTCCTATTTATACAAAAGACCTTAACAAAAAGACAAAATCCTTGGAAACTTACATGTTCCTAAAAGAAGGACAAAAGTTAAAAAGGGAGTATCATATCACAAGCAAAAGCAAACGCAACCTCCAAAAATCCTTCATCCCAGCTGTATAGATCTTTATCCACTGGAATAACAAAAAATTGTCTTAATCCTTGATCGACAACTGAATCCTTAAGCTCTTCCCAAAAAGCCGCTTCTTCATGACAGTTCAATGTTGTCGGAATGCTACAACACAGAACATTATGCTTTCAAGTTAAGACTTTTCTACTCTAATGATGCAAAGACAAGCTAATCACTTAATTTAGCTCCAAATATAAATAAATGAAAAATAATGTAATATAAAAAACTCAAGGTTGGAATATAAGAAAATAAACTACCTAATAAGTAAAAAAATGAATGCTTTATGTATAGAATAATCAATGCAAATCAACCACTTTGATACCCACATTAAGATTTGAAGAAAATAAAGAAAGAAAAACAATAACCTTAAATATAGGGTTCAAACTAGAAAAAGTCCTTAAAAACATGGATCTAGAAACCAAGAAAAAACTCATATTTGAAACTAGAGAGGGGAGGGGGGGGGGGTTTAGAAATCAGATCCACCTATATCGCCGTCATCATTTGATAAGATAATGTAGTTCACGTTGATGTTTGATTTCAATGCATTTATGAATTCTTGGGTCCTTGGTTTTTGAATTCCAAACGCGAATCTTCCCGTCCTGATGGTCGGTTACCGATCAACTACCCACGTTTCCATCACCTCATCTCCTCCTTCCCCACCAATTACCAATCTTTTTTTGACACTCCTTCCCATGGTTGCCGATAGAAATTGAGGAAGATGGAAAGAGAGAATCTTTTTTTTGGTTAGTGGTGAGAGATATGGAAAGATTTAATGAGCATGGTATATAGAAAGATATAAACATGAGTTGTATAATAATAATTATCTTAAATGATTGGTTAATATTGGATCTCACGGTTACCATAAATTAAACAATATAAGAATTGAGCTAATTTATGTAATGTAACACCCCCATTCCATAGGAAGGGAGGTCGCTTCAAAACGTAACGAAAACGATATATAAAACTTCCAAAATGTAGTCTCCAATACAAAAATAAAATGTCCCAAATAAAGAAATAAACATCTCCAAACAAACCACTTCAAGTGCCTTCCAACAACTCAAGGAAATCCAAATACAACTTCAAAAGAAATGCTAGCCTAATGGCCAATGAAATAAATCTAATAATTGAATAACATAACACTAAATCTCTCAAAACCTTTGAAATCGAGATCATGGTGTATTCTCTGTCACAAGACTTAGTCGCCCCCCTGATTATCTGCCATGAGGAACAGAAGAAAACATGGTTGAGCCAAATGCCAAATGCCCAGTGAACGAATAAACAATTATAATAAAATGGCAACACAAACATGCCAAAACTAATCTCAAGATATCAGACAAAACGAGTACAAGTATTTTAGTAAAATCAACAATTAACATAATCATACGAAAGCATAAGAAGGGACAAATCAAGCTCGAAAAACGCATACACTTACATATCAACCAACAGGACAAGTGTTAGATATATGGCCACATAGGCTTGTACGTTGGATTGCAAATCCAGACATACTAGATGTGAGATGTGGTGTTGGACATTACACTGATATCCACCCTACAAACGAATCATATGTACTAGAGCCGACCTATACGCCTCCTAAATCTAATATCCATCACACCAGAATAGCTCTCATAAGAGTACAAAAGAGAAGACGTCGTTGACTGATCACACTGCCATGGTTAGTGTCACGCCATCAGTGCTACAATGACGTGCCTATGGTACCCCCATAGGTGGTTAGTAGCTCGACTTACCCGGAGTTAACTTGTCACAACGAATGTGACGTCTTATAGTCTCAACTAAGAGTGAGAGCAAAACGTATCAACATCGAATGCATGATCAACATAATCAATGTAAGAAAAACGTTGGATGAACAAGTAGTTGTAACAATTAAGAGGCTCAAATTGAATGGTACATAATCGATCACATCTACAAACATATGTACATTTAGAGGTAAAAATCATACTAAAATGTTACCGAACAATTAAACACAATCTTTTGAAGAAAACACATATTTGTACTAACTCGAATAACTCAAATAACATGATTAGGACAAGTTATATTTGCCATATATATATATATATATATATATATATAACATAGAACAAATACGAGTGAATGGAAGATGAAGTAACGAACAATATGGAACGGTCATGAGTTAAACGAGAGCTTTAGGGTTTGCAAAAAATAAAATATATAAAAGAATCAAATAAACTAAAAGGTTTATGAATCCGTACCTTAAACTGCACCAAGCTTTTCAATTCCCAAGTCTACTCCTCGACCTAAACAGACACCCAAATTCACTAATTAATTCTAACCGTTAAGTTAACTTTGATCATATAAGACAATCAACCAAATCGATGAACGATATCTAATAATTAAAACACAACCAAAAACTATAAATCTAATCTGCTAAAAAAATGGGAACTACATGATTAAAATAAAAATGAGCTTTTGAAAAGCTCCAAAACATGAAAACAATGACATATGGCTTCAAGAAACAAAACCATGTGAATGAATGTATATATATATATATATATATATATATATATATATATATATATGCGTGTATATACATATGGATATCCAACAAATATATTCATCACAATTTAGCTTCTATTTGGGGCAGCCCCTCCCATGCAGACCGGCAGTCAAAATAGAAAAAGAAAAAAAAAACGCTCTCTCGAACGACTGTTTGCACAACAACGATCTCGACTAAAAGTCGAGTCATTCTGATCCGTTTCTTTTGGGCGATTGGTGTCTCAGCAATTTTTAGGACTAAATTCGAGAGGGAATTGAGCAGAATTTTGGTGCTCCATTGACAGTTTAATGAACCCCCATGCTGCTGCCATTATTATTGTCTGAATCGTTGACTGAAACGACTTTGATTTTACCCCAAATAAACCTAAAATTCATTACCCAACCACTAATCGCATGAGTTCGAAATTGAGACAGAACTTACCTCAAATTGACGAATGAGCCTCCCTCAAACCATTGCTCCTTTTCTCTCCTATCCTTCAATCGGTTTCTCCTAACTCAACAGTTTTTGCTCTGACAAATTAGGCGGTGCCAAAGAGGTTAAGGTTAAACAAAATAGAACTTAATCCACATACACCCAAGCCACCACTCTAATTGCAAAGTTTAAGCATGTTATGCAAAACTAACTCCTCAAGATTGGTCAACTTCCTAAACTAACCCAAACTTCAATTTTTTTAGACTTGCACCGAAATATATATATATATATATATATATATATATATATACACACACACACACTATATTGTAAAACATTTGACAAAAACTTTTAAAACCCATTTTTTATGCACGAAAAACTGTTTATTGATGCATAATACTTAAAATTTAAGATTACAAGTAAATTGTGCATAAGTACAACTTATTAAAGTTCCATGTTTGAATTCGTGTAACTAACTGTAGATAAATACAATCAAATGCAGGATAAACATCTCATTTTAAATATAAAAAATATAAAATATAATTAGGATCATTAAGTTCTAACATAACACTTAGTTATTATCTTTATAAAAAGTTATATTATTAAACCTAAATTAAATTACTTTTTCTACGTTAAATTAAATAATAATAAAAAATTTGAATGAAGGAAACTACACAAAACAAAGAATTCTAAATAGTTAATTTGATACTAATATCGATATATTTTTTTCAATTTTTTATGATATTTTCAAATTTATATTTTATTCAAAAATAAAAGCATCATTGTTTTCTCAAAACCACATAAAACTGTATTATATCGACATAGATAAAGAATAAAACGAAACATTGAAATTGAGATATATCTCGATGCATTGCATGGGTACCCTTCTAGTACACACACGCATATGCCCGACAGGTATTATATGTAATATATTTTGGGTGAATCTTTTACTTCTTAGACTATTGTTTATCATGTAATATATATTTGGGAATTGGACGTGTTTAAAATTTTTATTTGTTTGGATTACAGTCATGTTATTATTGATTTTATAATGAAGTTTTAATCTTATATTTATTGGATTGTACGCGTACAGTGCGTTAGGTACAAACCGCATAAACCACACATCACAACATTTTGCTGTGCGGTTTTTTTGTAGTTTGTGGTATATGCGGTATGGTTTGCGATTTGGCCTTAAACCGCACTGCGAATACCCCTAGTATAATATTAAGAGATCAAACTGATAGAATCTGTATCTGTAATCGCAATAAAATCTCTCAGTGTCGTAGAATTAACAATATCAAAATTGCACATCTTCCTCGCAAAAGAACAAAATAAATGTTTATCTCAAATATATTTTCGAGGTTGAAAACTTCCGTTATATACGATCGCGAAGTAGTTAATTTAGTTCAAATTCAAACTAGATTTACTCAACTCTGATGTAATAAATTGAGTATTGATTCTCATCATTTAGACCATCACATTCGTGTATGAGATTAATAAATTGACTTTTTACAAACCACGATACTCATTTTGTATTTCCAAAACCACATAAAAGAAAAATGTTATATTCAATAAATCATATGAAACAAATTTATTCTATTATCCTTATTAAATTCCATTTTTTTCATGGGTATTTACGGATGTGAGGTTTAACTTTAACAAAAAGGACCACTTTAAAATCAAAATACAAAAAGTAATAACAGTTTATGTATTTTATGGTTTAAGGATCAAATTTTTCAAACGCAGCGAAAAATACCAGAAGTTCAATTTACTCGGTATAAAAAGATAGAGTTGAGATATTATAAACACGTTGTAACCAATAACCAATGATGTTTACAGGTTAAATTCATCCTTACATTTTGATGGAGTCAAACTCGTCTAACGTAAAGAAATACAAGACTACCACTTACAAACTTTCGATCCTTAACGCTACCAATAGACATACTGAAACACAAGTCTAAGAAATCTATAACCTAAAATAAATTCATTTTTTAAGAATAAAAAATGACCAACTATAATCAAATACAACCGTTTTCTCTTTCATATATATACAAAGAAGTATAATAACTTTGGTAATCTATCACGACTATAAAAAAATGATTGGTTCAACTTCGGTGTGAAACCAGCCGTAGTCTTGGAAGGCAGCTAATGGAGAAAGTGAAAACTTATCCGATAATCGACTTTATCTGCAAAATCATACGTAACATGATCGTCAGATTCATTAAATAACATAGAAAGTGAAAAGTTCGACTTGGCAAATAAGAACGTTCCTTAGAAACTAGTTGGAACAATCTGATGCTTAATTAAATACTTAATATCTTGTAAAAGTTGATTACTTTATGTTCAAAATTAGTCCAATTTGAATCCCTAACCAAATTCATTAGATGAGGCATACGACAAATACTCATGTATCCTCGGTTTTTTGTGGGGTTTGAATCTTTAGCCTTCTAAAAGACAGACTTTGCCAGTGACCCACATACCGTTACAACGACGACGTTCATGGGGTTCACTCTTGTCGAACTACTAGCAAATAGAGACCATGTATGGTAAACCTTTGATCTGGTTTTCCTATGGTGCAAAAAGGTTAGGTCATGGATCCTTATCCTAAAAAAACTTGTAAAGTCGTTGCTTTTATGCTCAAAATTTTGACAAAAAGGTAACAGTCAAGTTACACTTCCTATTTTAAAAAGACGGCCAACTTGGACCAAAGAGTGGAGTCACCATACTATATATATGACTCGTACAAGAAAAAGGGAAAAGGACATCGACGCGTCGACATCGTTACACCCGATGCTGACCCAGAAAAACGACAACAATCTTCCCACTTCGCCAAAGGGTAAGACGTAACGAAATATAATAAAGTTCGGTTTAGGTCCTATTAGTGTAACGAAGAAATTACAAAATTCCAAATCTTTAAATATTGACACATTATAATCAAAAGAATCCTTGAAGATTTCTTCTATAACATGACAAATTATGGTGAAGAAAAAGCACTGAAATGACAAATTCACCCTTGAAACAAACAGTTGAAAGGAGTAGAGTTGAAGAAATTACCTCTAAAGACTACCCTCCTGAGGAACTTTGAGCTTTCTATGCATTCTTGTGAACAAAATGTTAGTCAAATTCTCCATCTTTAGGCAAGAATTAAGAATCCAATGAGCAAAAATACAAGGTTGAAGATAGATGAGGCCTGCAAAAAACACAAGTTATAACAAAACCAATCAGAACTCGATAATTCATACGTAAACCATGAATAACACACAAGGGCAAGAACGTCGTTTTCTTACATTTCTCCACGAAGCCGAATAATGCATACGAGGAAGGTAACCTTGTACGCCAAGGTTGTAGACCGGTGTGCCATTAGGATAATACAATCCATAGTTCCTCTCTGAAGTCGGTCCAGGCTTCATGTTTTCGTTAAAAAGCGCAAAGACGTAAATATCAATAGGTTGTGAAGGGTTCCCCGGTGTGCCCTCCCGTTGTTGCATCCTTCGGATCAAGTTTTTATGGTAAATCCCCGCGTTTTGAACTGTAGCTCCAAATTCATCATCGTCGCCCTTTGAAGGCCACCCGGTCTCAGAGATTTGAACTTGAATATTAGCAGGATTCAAAGCTCTTATAGCCGAATAAACCGCATCAATTTGAGCATATAACATATTATCATACTTCAAATTCGTATTCGGATCAATGGCCCCGGAATTTGGTTCAAAAAGCACGTATTCTAAAGGCACATTATTCGGATCATTCTTGTACGCAAAATAAGGGTACACATTGATCAAAAAAGGTGAACCCGTTTGAGCATGGAAGGCAAGAATGGGCTGCATATATTGAACCAAATCTTCGCGAAATGATCCTTGCGAAGGGGGGAAAGATGTCGCTAAGATCTGAAGGGAATGGGCCGTGGTCACGTAAACTTGTTTGTTTAATCCAAGATTAACCAAAGCTTCATAGATGGTTTTCATGGCTGGATAGAGGTACGGTGCTAATGTCGCATCTTGGCCTCCCAAGATTTCGTTGCCAACGGTTATGCAAGTGATACGGGTTTGCATAAGATAAGGTTGTACCTTCTGTTGAACCCATAATTGAGCTTCTTGAGGATCTTGAACTCTTTGGAGGTATTCATTTCCTAGTCCTATGATGAACTCGACATTGGAATTTGCGAACGAACTCAAGACTTTTGGGTCGGCATCGTAGAGCTTAACGCGGCTAATGTTTAAGGATTTTAGGAGGACCGATACGTGTGATGCCGAAGGGAGATTATCGGCTATTTGTCCGTAGTTTATCCCCACTCCAAGGGTGTAAATGCCAACAAATGATCCTGGGAACACATTAAATTCGATAATATTTGAATCAATCTCATGATTAAAGAATTATTGCAGTGCGACGAAGATGCTGATATCCAACAAATATGCATACAAAATTAAAAGAAGAATCAAGAATCTTCAATCCTCTTTTGCTTTTTTATCATGCATGCTAACAACTGATCCATACATGAAATTGACAGTGAGAGTTTTCTTTGCCATTTTATCAAACACCCTGAACCCAGATCAAGAAATCCCACATTTTATTGAAAACCCACAACCAAGATATCAAGTTTTTTCTTGAAATTCAATAGTAAAATGATATAAAAGAGGTAGTACCTGATAAGGTTAGGAGCAAAAGAAGTGTGCTAAAAACAGCCGCCATTGACGGTCAAATTGTGAGCTTCCGGCCACTGATCTCAGCCGTGAAATTGAAAGAGGGCGGCGTCTGAGGGCGGTTTAATGTTGGTGGTGGTGTACTGGTGTTTATGAAATGGATAATGAGGTATGGGGTTTATATAACGACGATCGAAGTTTCTGTGGGCCGACAAATGACTGGATACCACGTATTTGCACCGTCATTTCTACTTCCAGCTCCAGCTCCAAGAAACCGACTTACATCTCCTAGTTTCCTAAAATGCCCTTCAGAAAAGGTTTTGACTTGGACTTTGACTTTCTACACGTTCCACCCCATGCACCAGCCTACAAAACCGTGTCCACGGTTAGCCCAACACTATTTTAGTGAACCGCATTTTTTTGTCTTATAGCGTCTCAAAATAAATGGGATTCTTTTTTAATTTTATAATAAGAATTTATTTTTAAATTATTTTTCACATACATGTTGTATTCACGTCTAATTAAATAAAAACCGAGTAATATATGATAATTATGAGATTAAACGTAAGTATATACGATTTAAGGTAAAAACTTAAGAAGAGATTTGAATCTTTGACCCCTTTTAATCTTATTCCACCTTATGAATTGTGTTTATTATGAGAATTGGTTCGATGCATCTCGCTGTATTGCTTTAATGTTGATTTCCAATTATGATCGTTATTGTTGTTGGATTGGTTGTAGGGCTTGTTTCTATTGGACCGCCTGTCTTCCGGTGGTCTTCTAGCTTTAGAAGAAGTCGTGTCCGTCCCGGACATCTGCAACGCCCTTTCACGCCTTTTTATTGATTCATTCATGTAATTATGTACGTTCATGAAACCAATGTGTTCATTGAGCATTTACCTTCATTGTTTCTATTGTCAACCTTATCATTATTCAATTCTCCCCACATGGACCAGCTTCATCTAGTAATATTGTACATAAAACCCTTTTTAGAGCACTAAAATTATTAATAACTAAAATGTAATATTGAACATTCGTCTCATGTGTGCTTGCTCAATTCAGGAACCAATCACGAAACAAGCAGTATCATTACGTTGCCATTTTCTTTTCATTATTCGACGTTACAGAAAGTTAGGGTTTCGAAATATTACCTGATTTCTCCTTATTTCCTTTTGTTGTTGACTTGGTTGATTGACGATTTAGGCTTTTTTTTTCTCTGGTTCTTCAATAATTTCTCCATCTTCATCCAAAAGAACAGGGTTATCTGTTTGTATTCTTGAAGTTTGAGAATGAATAGTTCTTCATCATCCGTTTGCTTCTTCTTCGAACTGATGAAGATGAAACAAACCCTAGTGTTAGGAATGGCAGTGAATCAAAGAAATCTATATGAAACCGAGACGCATGTAATCGACTATAGTATATCGTCTCCTAAAGATTCACCCTTCTTAGACGATGTTCGTGGGTTTTGAATTCTCCTAGATTTATTGTACGATTGTAAACCCCTACGAATCTTTGAAAGTTTTGTATTCCGATTTTACCCCTAAATTGGTTTTAATTTTAGAAATAAATTATAAATTATGTTTTTAATCTTGTTTTAATTGAAACATTTGATCAAAAATTTGAAGACCATGATTTGGTTATAAGGGTTGTATGAACGGAGGTGGTTGCATAATAAACCCTCTCTCTCTCTACACACACACACACACTATTTAAGGCGAGTGATCGTGTAAGAAGAAGAGTTAAGGTGAAAAGTGTAAGAAAAGATTTGAACCATTGATCACCTTTAATCTTAAACTCACTCATGAATCGTGCTTTCAACGAGTCTCACATAAAAGTATGACGATGATCCCTCCACCTATCCTATAGTTGATACAAAGTTGTGGAAGCAAGCGGTTGGGGGAAGCAAGATATTTCGTTTATTTGGGTTTGGATACACCAAGATATTTCATTTATGTTTTGTTTGGGACAATTGTGTGCTATTTTGATCCGGACAATTATATTGGACATTAAATTAATGTATAATATTTGGCAGAACTACATGTTTTTACCAGGTTTTTTATTTACAGAATTTACAAGTTTTTAATAAAAATAGGAAATTTGGTTTTGGAACTGGGTGATTTTCCGACGGATGAATTCCGCCGGAAAATATTAAAAATATATATAAATTGATTTACAAAATTAAAAAAAAATCCAACGTACATATTACTGGCAGACATCCGGCGGATATTTCCGCCGGTAATTGAATTCGAAGAAATATATTTTTAAAAATAAATAAAACATTTACCGACAGAAATACCCGTCGAAAATCCGCAGGAAAACCTAGTCCAAGATTTTTTTTAAGAAATTCAAAAAATGAAGTGATGGATTTTTAGAGGCCTGAATTTGCCGTAGAGTCGAGAAGTCGTCGACAATCCATCGGAAACGTTGTTTTCTAGCGGAAGATTTTGCCACCAGAAATACCCCCTGTTTGGTAGTCTCACATTCACTCTCCTTGTCATCGGAACTCAACCCTATTATTTAATATCACTACAACAAAATCGAGTTTATAAGGCACTCTCAAATTATAAGCGTCCTAATAGACCTCTTTATATGACTTAGTTTATAGAACCAAAAAAATAAAATGTTTAATCTAAAGGTGTTGTAATAAGTTTATATGACGTTTTTTATGTCGTAATATGTTTTTTAGAACATTTCTAATATAAAACGTCTCATTATCAATTTTATAGAACACTATTTGAAAGTTGTCCTATAAAAACAAGTGTCGTATAAAAAGTTGAGTTTATAGGACAATTTCTCAAAAGTGTCATATAAAGTTGCTAATGCGACACTTTATATTAAAAATGTCTTAAAAAACATGTTAAAACGCCCAAAAGCGTCATATAAACTTATTACAACGCCTTTAAATAGGACGTTTTATATTTTGGTCCTATAAAGCGGTCTATTGCGACACTTGGAGATTGGGGGTGTCCTATAAACCCAATTTTGTTGTAGTGTATCTTCAATTCTAGTCTTGAATGAAAAAAATCATGTAAAACAATACTTTTAAAGTTAAATTCTCCTAGTTATACATATAATTATGTACCTAAATATGTATACATACATTTACGTGTGTTAATCTCAAAATTTTCTTCTATTTTGTTAACCTTTTATTTAATTTCATTTGCATAATGCTTTTTTTAGATTTTTGATAAATGATAGATGAATACACACACATACATATGTGCAAAGAGATGCAATCGACATGATCAATATAAATATATATATATATATATATATATATATATATAAATATAGAGAGAGAGACTTGAGATCATATAAGACTAAGAGTTTTTTATGAGACCCGTAAGACCAATTCTTAACCCTTGAATTAGATATACAATCTGATAATCTGAACATCATATAAACGCCACAAGACTTCTCAATGATCACAAAATTGTCACCGTGTAACTTTAGATCATTAGATCATTAGCTTATAAAGTTGATCAATGAACATAAATTAGTCTTACGGGTCTCACAAAAAACTCTTGGTCTCACGTGAATCCAACTATATATATATGTGTGTGTGTGTGCGCGCGTGCGCGCAAACAGATGCAATTGACATGATATGTATATATATATATAAATATATGTATGTATATATATATATATATATATATATATGGTTGGGTTCACGTGAGACTCGTAAGATTAATTTATGTTTATTGATCAACTTTATAAGCTAATGATATAATGGTCTAAAGTTGTACGGTGACAATTTTGTGATTATGAATATTCATATTGTAGATCTAATTCAATGGTTGAAAATTGGTCTTACAGATCTCAGAAAAAATCTTTGGTTTCACGTGATCCCAAATATATATATATAATATATATATATATATATATATATATATA